GCTCTTTAGAAGTAAGAATGGCAAGAGTTCTCGTACTTTGGTCATGTTATCAGGGGGGGACCAGGCCCTGGAGAAGGATTATCATGGTTGGTAAAGAAGATGGTCAGCAAAAAAGGGGAAAACCCTCAATGAGATGGGCTGACACAGTGGCTGCAACGATGGGCCCAAGCACAATAATGATTGTGAGGATGCCACAGGACCGGGCAGTGTTCCATTCTGTTGTACATGGGGTCGCTCTGAGTCAAAACCGACTGGTCAGCATATAACAACCACCACCCTTGCTATCATCAGATGTACCTTCTGGTCCCTGGAACAAGCTGATGTAACTCGTGCCTTGCTTACTCTAAGGAGCTCTGGTGGCACTGGTTAAAGCACTGGACTGCTAACCAAAAGGTTGGCAGTTCAAACCCACCAGTCACTCCACAGGAGACAGATGAGGCAGTCCACTTCTGTAAAGATTTACAGCCGTGGAAACACTATGGGGATGTTCTTCTCTGTCCGATAGGGTTGCTATGAATTGCTATAGACTCAATGGCAGTGGGTTTGGTTTGGGTTTGTTCGCTCTGGTTTACACCTCTACCCTGCTCCCTGACTCAGGGCTTTTCTCCACACAGAGAAACAGGAGAGCATTGAGTTTCAGCAGCAGCAATGTCAGGGTATCTATGAGGAAGGTCTAACATAAAAATATACCTAGTTAGGATTTTCTTTGTTCCAGTTTTTTCAGAGAACCACCAGCATCCTCATTCAAAGGTAAAAACGTCATCACAAGTGCTGAACTCTTATTTTTGCTATTGATAATTCCAATGAATGTTCATAAAATTAGAGGCAAAATAGAGAAAAAATCATTCAAACACTAACTCTTCCAACTGCACTACGGGAAGACTGCTGAAAAAACCAACCAACCAACCAACCACGGGCTTTAAAGTTAGCTAAAACAAACAAACAAACAAACAAACCTCACTGCTGTCTAAGTAGGGGCGGAGTAGCCAATGAGCAAGGTAGCAAAGCACAGGCTTACTTGTGCTTACTTACTTATCTGCAGTGAACAGTTTCACATGGGT